TCAAAAATTTAGGCGGGGTAATGTTTGTATATAATAGAGTTATGGCACTATCAAGCAATGTTTTCTGTGCAAGCTGAAGGTCTTAATAGAAAAATGTCGTCTTCTTATTTCCTCGACTGTAGGGAGGATCATATGAAATAAAATGCGTTTGTATGTGTCAGGATAAAAACAAAAATCAGAGGTGAAGTTTATTTAGGCGAAACTTCTAAAGTTTCACCAAAAGTAATTGATATCGGATTTCACATGTGAGCTTATGATTGGTTAGAGAGCTGAGCAATCAGATAGGAAGTTTTTTTTATTGCGTTTCGATCTTTATTTGAGGTGGTTTTCTTGACTGAAGGGAGGGTCATATGAAATACAATGAGTTTGTGCGTCTGTCTGTGTGTGATAGGCAAGGGGGAAACGGCGGACTTGAAGTAGAAAAGTACGCCAAAGTACGTCAAAGTAGACTACTTGAAGTAGCTCAAAGTACCACTCAAGTAGTCCAAAGTACGAACAAGTAGCTAGAAGTAACTTCAAGTAGCTTCAGGTAAATTTGAAGTTGAAAAGTCCTTCAAAGTAAGCTACTTCAAGTAGCTGAAAGTAACTTGAAGTAGCTTAAAGTAGCTCAAAGTAACTCCAAGTCCAAAAGTCCGCCGTTTCCCCTTTGGTGATAGGTCAAAGGTCATGGGATTACAGATTGTAGGTCATTATAAATGTTGACGAAAGTACAGCGGAGTTGGGAAATGTGAATCTGAAATCGGTTTTGCGAAATTTTCAGTTTGAGGTTTTTTGGGCAGGCAATAGATTTTTACGTAAATGGTCGTTTTGCTCTCAACTGAAAGGGTTTATAAAAAAAAATAAAATAAGTTTTTATGCTTGCTCCCTCGACTGAAGAGAGGATGATAGGAGGCGAATAAGTTTGCTTGCTTGTGTGTTTGCATTCACTTGTGAAGTCACCGAGGCACATACTAATGGGCAAGATTCAGAGCACCTATTTTTTTTTTTTTTTTATTTTGCGTTTCCATGTAACACTCGGAAGTGCTTACATTATGAATTAATTAAAGATGATTTTTTGTTTCAATATAAGCTACAATTTCCATGCAAAAAGTTATACAGCATTCACCTTTGTCTGCGGGTACTAAATATTGAATCAGCAAGTGAGGGTAATAAGAGAGAAAAAAAAGCAACAAAAAATGTAAAGAATTTGAGTAGAAGCGAGCGCGTGAAGAGAGAAGGACAAGAGAGAAAAAAAAAGGAAAACGATGTTTGTAAAGAGAGGGGGAGAGCGAGAGAGAGAAGAGAGCACCATTCCTCGTGCTCCTATCTTCACATATAATTATACTATTTCAATGAACGATAACCATTTTAGAAGAAGCGATTCATGTTTGTTTATCAGTAATTTAACTCGATTGATACGAAAAAACTGACCAAGGCGATCATTTTTTCTCTTATAAAACTCATCCCAAAAGAAAATATCGTTATAGAAGAGTGAGCGGCCTAGATCCGTTGTGTGGATGTTTCTCAGTCTTTTTTGAATATACTGCTTAACGTAAACATTTAATGAATGTTCGTTGGTCATAGCGTATAGATTGCCAGCTGAGACAAAGGGACAGCGATGCACCAGTCGGAGACCTACACGAAACTTCCGTTGTAAAATTTGTTGTTGTGATTCTGGAAGTAGAGGGAAAAATGGAAACAGCCATGCAAAATGTGGAAATGTGTACGCAAAAAAGCATTGTCTCAATGTCTTAGTGGACATGTACCTTCTTGTTCTTAACCATCTAAGTTTAGCAAGAGATCTCTGAATATTCTCTATACATCTGTTTATTGTTGGTTTTAAGGAGAGTTTACTCGTCCATGTAAATCCTAAATACTTAAATTCATTTACAATTTCAATTCTTTGTCCATACATTTCTATTTTTACTATTGGCTTTTTTATTTGTGTATAAAACAATTGTGCAACAGTTTTACTTATATTTATAGGTTGCTTCCATTTTTTCGAATATTCAAAGATTTGATCGCATATTTTCGTGCCTTCTCGTTCTAAGTATTCGATCATGGGTGTTAATTTGGCTTCCAATGGGGGTCTTATAAGGACGCATAAATCATCTGCGAATAAATGCCCCGAATGAGCTCCGCAAGATTGAACAAGATCACAATGAAACACTATAAACAGATACGGGCTAAGACTACTACCTTGAGGTAGACCGATGTGTATATGAAAAACTTCTGATGACTTATCTCCAAATACGATATACGCCTTTCGATTTTTAAGCCAAGATACTAACATTTTCAACATATTGAGGGGTATACCTAACCTCCACAGTTTTGTTAAGAGCGCTGCGTGCCACACGCGGTCATATGCTTTCTGATAGTCCACATATATAGCTAAGGTTGGTATGTTGGCAGCCATACTATTCGTAATCTCCTGGAAAATTGACAACACTCTGGTGGGCAATAAGCATCTTGGGCGAAAACCCGATTGTTCTACTGGAACAATATGATTTGTCTCTGCCCAATATCTTACTCTATTTAACATTAGTTTTTCAAAAAGTTTTGAGTGAGTTGCAAGTAAAGAAATTGGACGAGTTTGATCGCATTTAGGAACACCGGCTTTTAATTTATTTAAGGTTATTATCTTCGCTAGTTTCCATTCCTCTGGATATCTACATTCACTCAGCCATTGATTAAAACAAACAACAAGACATTCGATATAACTCATCGGAAGTTTTTTAATTATGAAGTTGGATATTTGATCAAAACCTGCTGATTTTTTTGGTTTGAGGGATCGGATCACTCTTCTGACCTCGACGATGTTAGTTCTCTCCATTTGTACTTTAGAATTAGATAAAATTTTCAGTATTTCATTACATTTATCAACAACTTCTACTTCATGTGAATCAGACAGATCTATCACTGGCTTTTTGAACTGTTCCCTATAATAGTTATGTAGTTCCCTTGTAATGTCGTTTTGTTCTGAGAGTACTTTATTACCACTTAATAGTTTATAGAATGGTAATGTACGTGTTTTATAAATACGTGATAGATATGACCAAAACATTTTGTCTTTGCTATCATGTGTCTGTTGGATTGTAGACAAAAAATTTTGCCATTGAGACGCTTTATATTTTCCTATCTCATTTTTTATTTCTCTTGTCATGACTCGAAGAAGTACTCTTATTTCTTCTCTTACTATTCCTCTTTGACGTAGATGATAGTATTTATTTCTTATTTTCCTTACTTCTTTTAATTTCTCGATTATATAATAAGGTAATGATGGTTTATATTTCTCTTTCTCTTTCCATTTTGTTAATCTATTCTTCGCTGCTGCGAGGAATCGCACGTACTGACAATACCATTCATTTGTGTTTATTCTTTTCTGTTCTTCTACCCAGAATGTTTGAAGAAGTATTAAAATAGCTTCGAACGCCTTCCAATTGGTATGTGAGAAGGAACCTTTCAATTTGAAAAATATATTTTCACATGTTAAAGCAAGATGCCAATGATCGCTACTGCCGAAGTTCATTGTATCACATGAAATAGCAGGGATATTTGAAAAAGATAAATCTATATTGCGCGACGAGCGTTTCGACGAGTGTGATGTCGAAGGAATGTAGCTAAGATTATTCTCATCCATCCATTCTTTCACATATACTCCTCTCTTATCCGTCGACGGACTATTCCATTCTTTCACTGTTGCATTAAAATCACCAGAGAGAATGGTTCCTTCTATCAGAAAGGGAAGAATGTCATCAAGATTGCGTTTTTGGCTGTTTGGCCAATAAATACCTATGACACGCACTGGTTCTGATAATCCTATAATATCTATAACTAATGTATTTGGTATGTCTGTTTCAATACGTGATGCCTTCAAATGCTTCCCTACTGCTATGCATACGCCTCCACTATGATTAGTGCCTTTCTGATAAAATACGTTAAAATGTGGAAGTTTATTTGTGTTCCAAAGCTCGCCCACTTCAGTAAAAATACAGATGGAGGCCTCTATTTTGTACACTAATTCTATCACTTCAAGTGCTCGTGTGCCCCATCCTTGAACATTATAGCACAGTATTTTTAAAGGTGTATTAACACTATTAGAAATTATTGCATTATTTTTTTCCCACTGACTTAATACTGAATTTAGAGATCTATTAGAGTACCATTCATTCAAGAGATTTAACAGTAGTTTTTGATCACCTGTTGAAAAATTCCATTGTCTTAGCTGATGCATCGCTTGTTCTATTGGATCTATGAAACCATCGTTTTTTGAAGAAAAGAAAGGAAGCGCAAGCGGATTAAGCGAAGAATTAAAACTACTTATGATTATTTCATAGTTAATGAATCTTCTCTAATCGTGTTTGCCGATGTTGCAATCTGTTTATCTGGAGTTGGTGGTTGAAGTGATGATGTTGGACGTTTACGTCTTATTTCATAATCATTTTTTAAATCCCTTTTCAGATCACGCAGATCATCGTAGATTGATTGTAAACCAATCTTGGACTTCAATAATTCAGGCTTTACTTGCTGCATTACTGGACCAAGTACATTTTGAATGAGCGATTGAACATTTTCAATCAATTTATTCATTGTGCTTTGGTGTAATTCTGCATCTAATGCTGTTTGATTCACTTGTGTATTGATTTTTTCAAGTTTCTCTTCTACTCTTCTATTACTTTCACGCATTTCAACCAGATTTTCATTTATAAGCAGAAGTGCTTTTGTTGAATCAGGTGTTATATCGTGACCAGTTTCTGTTTGTACACCATTCCACACTGACTGTTGTGGTTTCTTAGATTTGCGTATAGATGGAAAATCTTCGTTCTTCATATTGAAATCTGATCGTGGATTAGTATAATCATTTCGATGTAGTTTTCCAGATTCCAAGGCTTTAGTAACTTCTTCTTTTAGATCAGCACGATATTGTTGAATAACGTGACATTGACCATTTAGTGAATGATGTTCACCATCACATTGAGCACATTTTGGAACGTGGTTGCATACATGTTCTTCCTTCTGTTTTATTTCTTGTAGACATACTCGACAACGCTGTACATTATTTTTACATTGTTCACGCAGGTGACCAATTTTCCAACATCGGGTACAATATGTCATACGATTCCCAGATAAAAAAGGTGTGATGGATAGCCAGTGATTGCCAATCGAAATACGACCAAGTTCACGTGCTGTATTATATTCTGTTAAATCCGTTACTGTAAAACGGAAATCATTTGACTTCCGTTCGTACGTGTAATATATTTGTTTTATATTATCGGCTGATGCAATAGTACGTTTAATTTCTTCTTTAACGAATTCAAGATCTAATTCACGTGGAACATACCGAACAACTAAAGCAAAGCAATCCGGAATAAATTTTGGTTTCACAATTTTAATAGGAACACTTTTGATTGCTGTAGGCCAATTTTCTGTTGTTACTAACGTCATGTAATCTTCCTTGTTATTCACTCCTAATTTAAGACGTTTATTTGCCCATCCAACTAATGAAAAATTTTGAATACGTATATTATGTTCTTTAAAATGCTTTTCAATCAAACTTCTAGCTTCGAAGGCTGAAGGAAGTCGATGTATAGTTGTAGATTGATCGAATTCGATGAAAAAGCATGGCAAATTGGAAGAAACAGCACGTTTTAGTTGATCAAATGGAAGTGATTTTCGTTGTTGCTCGTTAGTTATTATTGCTTGTTTCCTTTGTATGTATGCATTTGTGCTTGGTTTGTGTTGCTTCTGTGCTGAACTGATTGATCCATCGCTCTCGTTGAGCGGTCGACTACGTTTTGGAGTTGATGATTTATGTTGAAAGCTTGTTTTAATATTTAAAATTGATGGAATTTGTTGTTGTTCTTGGTTTATTTGATCATTGTAAGTATGCTGAAACGACTGTTGTGCACTACGAGCTCGAGTAAATTCAAGAAACTGATAAAAATCATTCAACATGTTGGGGTTTTGTGCTAGTGAACGAAGAAGACCTTCTCGTTGTTCTATAGTGTTGCTATCATAGTAAATTGGTGGTTGAAAACATTGTTGCTGCTGTGATTCACCCATTTCAAATTCACCAGTGATGAGATGAGTGGATCGAACGAGATTGTTTACTTCGGCTGATTGAACTTGAATAGAGGACATTTAGTGCTCCTCTGCTACTGCAGGGGAACTTACAAGATAGATGGGTATGTAAGAGAACCGTAAGGAATGCGACTGTTCTCGACGAAGGCAGATAAAGAAGTGTCAGAGCACCTATTTTCAACTAGGACTACGAAGTTACCGTTACCAAAGAGTCACATCACCGGAACACTGGTTAGGGAAAATGCGATACTCGTTTTTTTAGTATTGAAAAAGTTTTTTGAGAAAATTATCATATTTTATAAAGGTTGACGAATGGAAATCGAGCTACAAGCATCTAAATCTATAGTTGATCTCTTGAAAATGAGTTTGTGCTCTGATAGTCATTGGGAGAGTAACGTATTCAGATGTGTTAGCGTGATAACAGTTTCCATGATATCAGTTACATCAAATATATATATAAGGCTTTTTCAGACTGCCAATTCAGCTAAATAAATATTTTCGGTGTTCGCCTATCAGTCTGTCAAGCTTTGTTCTCCTAGCCATATATTTCATGTGTTCTCGCTTCTTTTCTTACCAGCTTGTCTACTTATGATGGGCATATGCATAGGTGGCACATTCTCTGTGATATAAAGGCGCATTCAGGAATAGTTTTAGATGGTGTGCACTTGATCTTAGCTGATGAGTTGCGTCTAATCAGCTTTATTTGTAATTCATCCTATTTAAATGTGGTTCTCGAAGTAGATATGTATCAGACTAAAATGTGACGCGTAGAATTGCATTTATGCAAAACCGTATTTAGAATTCCACTCCAAGGGGGAATCGACGAGTTGTGATTTAGAGAGGGTTCCCTGGTGTTTTGACAAGTTTTGCTTTCGACTTTGTCGACTCGTGATAATCTCATTCTTTTTTCTTTTCAAGCTTAAAGACATTATTTCTGATTTTCTCCCCATTTAGCAGCATTTCATTGTCAGTTTTTTCCAAAATCGATGACTTTGTTGTGCACTATCTTTGATTTTCACGAATGATCTTGATATACTGTATTTAACGTTGAGGAAGATTAAAAATGAATCAATTGTTTGCTACTCATGTATAGTTCCTTCTAAAATGAGGAGTGTAAGTTAAAAAGCAAGATTTTTGCCATGTCCGCGCTCCTTGCCCATCATAGACATTCATTAGTTCGTCCTATACTAATTATGAGTTATAGAAATTAGTAATTGGTCCATCAAGATTTTACACTATTTGCGTGTATATTAGTATAGATGAGCAGTATCTAACCATTAAAAACTCTACCAATCAACGAATTGCATCGCTACAGACCTAGGTAGTTACACATAAGAGATCTTGCGTTGACTTGTTACGAAAAAGACATTAAAGTATATAAAGGATACGATTTCAACAACTTTCTTGAAATCTGAAAAGCTTTAATATATTAGTCAAACGTTTTCGATAGTGCAGGGAACGAGTTTTGAAGTGAAATTTTAACTCGTAAGTCAAATCTCAAGATATAAAAATCACGAGTGAAGAGTAGCGATCAATGGATCTTTCATAGTAGTCATAGGATTCAATATAAAAATCTTAACACGATCTTCACAATTTTAAAAATAAAGAATATCATCATTTACGAATTGATTGAGACGTATAATACTGCATGAAGCGTCATAGATGAATAAGTAGTTTATAAGTGCAATAATCATTTTTGTGAGATAGACCACTAGTTAGAAAAATATTAATGTTAAATTCAATAATAGACATAAAAAAAGATAAACATCGAGTCTGCAGAAACAATTTTTAATGAAATTGCAGGAGTACGTACAAAAAGAGAAATTTTCTGCACTAATTTCGAAAATAAATAATATAGTGTAGTGATCTTTGTCAATTATTTATAAAAACAATTACTCTACGAGCATATTTTTATTGTAGTCTATATTTATAATTTAAGTAAGGTTTAAGGATATATGTAAGTTCTAAACTTTTGCCCCAAGGAACTGTGCTAACGAGCCTCTCATGCATTTTACAGATAATTTCTATCCAATCTTGAATGAAGAATAATAGAAATTATCGAAAGTTGATGTCATTTTGGACAAAATGATAGTTTCTTCGAAAGCATTGAATTTTTTCACAACAAAATTTACTATTAATTACTTAATTTTCTCAGACAGTGAAATGAGACCTAATTACTTTTGTTGATTATCAATAATCTCAAGAGTAGTTAAAAATCCGTTCGCTCAAAGGCAAAAGTGACTTCCTAACTAAAACCTAGATTGTACTGAAAACCTTGGTCCTTGTAAATACCTAAATGAGTTTGAATTCAATTCAAAAATCTCTATATCTTAGGTTCATAATGTCTGATTGATTCTGATTATAATCGAATGCGATTAGAGATAGTTGCGAGCGTGATTTCCTTGTCTGAGAAAGCTAGATCGAAAAATATTCTATGAGTTTAAATTAAAATTGTTTTTCGTAGGAAGAGCTGGACATTAACATATTAATAGTTTTAGTATCCCACGCTGGTCGAGTAACTTGAACAATAAAATAAACATGATTTTAATGATGAAATGTAAGTTATCTTTTGAGATCTACGATCTCATCTATGAAAAAATGATCATTTCAATCAGAATAATACCTTCGTTTTGATTATAAATTAAATAAATTAAATATTCTGTATGACTATGTCATTTTTCATTGACGAAAGCGAAAAACTTCAAAAGTAACATTCTTTTCAGTACCCAAACACCGTTTTCTTCATGCTTGCCACGTAAAATAAAAGAAATCTATGCTCTATTTTTATTCGTGGGTGGCCACTGATAACTTCATTTTCCATCAAATAGTTTCCATTTTTCTAAAACTTTGTAAACTTGTCTAAATGCTCAACTATTATAAAAAAACCAATCGATATGGGTAGTCGTCTGTGATTTTCTTAGCCCA